GCTGTCAAGTCAGAAGAGAGGCAACAGCAGACATAGGAAACATAAGGTGCATGTAACGGATATATAATTACTTGAGTCATGGGCAAATCCAGGGAAACACGCGGAGCATGTGGACATCTCAGAACATAGTGTGATATTTTACTTTAAACAATCACCACGAAGGATTGGAGTTCTCACTACAAATCAACGGTTGAACGAGAAAGCACACACACCAACGGAACAGCATTCACAACCCAACTCGAATCACCCAACTTGCTAAGTTTGAATCACTGAAAAACACAACAACACTGTCGGTGAACAGCAAGAGCAACAGACTGGAGAAAACCGTGCCATGCAGCAAGAGATAACGCCACCTCCCAAACCACGGGAGAACGCGGTACACACCCCTCATGTGAAGGCTATACAGTCACTGTAGACGCCAAAACCCCTGCACGTTGTCTAAATCATGTCAGAAACAAATTGGTCGAGCAGAACAAAAGGAAGCTTGATTGCCTCCAACCAACAATCATAAGCAATAATAACAAGCAACAACTTGCACCGAGAGCAAACGCCCTGAACCAACAGCCAAGTCTCCCGTAGGCCTCTGCTAGTTCCTGCGCCTCTTCCTCACTCACCACATGGTTCTGCAGGTCGGCCTCGTTTCCCGCGAGCGGCTCGGAGACCCACTGGCTCTGCAAGAAATGAGAGGTCAGGCAGAACCGGCCAAGCGGAAGTTGACCCAAACCGAACCATCCAACTGGTGCTTGAACGCTATCCCCATGTTCATTCCCGTCCTGCCTTTTTTTTACAGAGAACCAGCAAGTTGTATGGATGTCCCTTCCTGTTCCCGTGTTTCTCTAGTTTCCATGGATGTCAATTCTCAGAACGGTTGCTTGAAAGTCCCGATCAGGGAAGAAAATCGGGCCTGGCGAAGGCAACTTGGGACAAGAACTGCGAGCAGACTCAACCTACGGGCCCTTCCGGGATCCTTCTCTTCAGGAAATCGGCAAATCCCTGAAAAAGCTTGGGTGAGAATGGGGAACCAACCCTTGCACGGCATTCAGTTTTTTTTTTTTGCCACGCTTGGCCGAGTTCAAGTCCTGCCGCAACTTCAGCTTCGCTCTTCGCAGTGTGGGAAGGACCCGCCCTTCCCAAACCAAGATCCAACCAGCCGAGGGAAGCCAGCCTGATCTCCAGAGCTCGGCTTGGGATGTACAAGACACCTGTAGCATACCCTAGCAATGCCCCCTTGGTATGTCAAAAAGGGGTCACACTATTGCACATCGCATGGTGATCTGCAACAATGGGACCCCTTTTTGGCCAAACATCCTTAGAAGGTACTTGAACCCTCTTGGGGAAACAATTCCTGTTCAGAAGTCGGATTCCCCTTGCAATTCGGACTCGTGACTCTGCCGGATAGACCAAGGCGTCATGGAAATTGGCCTAAAACCAAATCTCCCACAACCACGAACCAAAAAGGAAGCCACCTTCGAGGGATTATGGGGGTCCGTCCCCTTTTCCTAACGCAGAACGTATAGATTGGTTGCCTGTCATCAAGCCAACAACCAATGGTCTTTTCAGGAATAACTGCAGGGTTGATTGTTGGGCTCATTTGTCAGGTGAATGAAGGCGCTAGGGACCAAACCCTCGGTATCCACCGACAAACAAACAACACGACAACACATGGGAGGTTGTCAAAATAGGGGCACCATGGAAACGCCTCAAACACAACCTCGCTTCCTGAGTTGATTGGCCAAAAAAAGTCCAAACTTTTTATTTACCACCAAAATGGTCTTCCCAAAAAGTATAAAGTCCATGAACTCAGGGAGTGAGCAACACTAGTCACATCGGCGTAACTTCATTCTCCTTGAGACCCTAAGGTGAACATCATCCCAAACCATTTTTGGAGACTATTCCTGACGAACATTCCTGGCCGTGAGTGGACAAAATCCGTTCGCACAACTTGGAAACCATGGTTGAAACCATGGTGCGTTGGTATTTGCAGGGGAATCGAATCATCATTCCAGGGTTTCTTAGAACGGTGGTGCGATTAATTTCTGCATTTCACAACCATCCACAGTATCGTCTCCTTATGTATATAATGTCATCATGCATATAATACCATGGTTGATGGCCTACGTTGTGATCAGGTGTCCAGTGGCCACGTGAAAAACGGGCATCTTCTTTTTGGCTGGCTGAGTCAAAAGGGAAGCCGTCCCCAAGACACACGGAAAAAAGGGAGCAACTCCACATCCCAATCCCCACTAAAATAGGTCCTAAAATGGGTGGTGAATTCACGTACCAAAATAAACTCCCAAAACGGTTTTGACAACAGCCACATGGCCATCTTTCCCCACGAGCCGTCCGAGGTCGCCTTGTTGCCCAGCAGAACTCGGTGGCAGAAGGGGACAGCGGAGTCCACCTGCGAGCTGAAGTGGGTTGTCTCCAAACCCAAAAATCCCTTGGTACTTTCTGAGGATGGCGTTTGGGGGTTCAAAAGCGGTCATCCTTAGAAGGCACCAAGGGACCCTCTGGGAAATGGGAAGCCCCAAAGTTGGTGTTCGTTTTGGTTTCCCTTTACACCCACAAACACAAACCCCAAAACACAAAACAACAGGTACCCGCAGGTACCGCTGCCCTCCAGAAAAAAAAGAAGGAGATCCGAGCAACTAACCTAAGCAACCCAAACGACTAAGCAATCCAAGAACCCAAGCAACCCAAGCAATCCAAGCAATCCAAGCAACCCAAAAGGTCAATTCACCAAGGCCGGTCTTTGGCGCCAGTGTTCCGTATCGCTTCGCCGTTTTGTTCGGTTCAGCCTCGTACATCCAATGCTGCACGTGTTGGAAACTCTGTCTGCAGGTGACGTCGAACACCACGAAGACCCCAGCCGCTCTGCCTCAGTGCAACACAATTTCTATGTCAGCTCCGCCCTGTACCAAAACCTGCTCCAACTTTGTGCTGATGAGACAATCCACATCCTTTGCCCAAAAGTTAGAGGTTGAAGATGCAACCCAGCTGCCAAGGTTTCCGGTGGAGCAAGAACTAAGGGGCACATGGGATTTCTCACTTCCTGAATGGAATGCCCAGAGCTTGCACTTACCACTAACATGGTCGTCCCGCGTTCAGCTTCCTTCTCATTGGTTTGGAGCTCGGTGCTGTGGTGAAGGAGTTTCCCATTTACCCAAGGCACCAATCCGAAGCACCACATAAAGATCATCGGCTTTTTTTGAGGACATGGGGCGCTTTGGGCACTTTTTGGGAACGAATCCTGATCGAACATGGCTGGCAAAAGGTCAAAGGAAATTGACCTTCCAGGTACCCTCCAGCAGCTATGTTAGTGGACCAGAGGGCGAATCCTGATCCACCAAGTTCATTTTCGAGAGGATTTCCACCGCAAGGGGTCGAATTGGCTCAAGCTGCTGTGCCACAAAGCCGCTGAGTGATGAGAAACTGAAGGGGAACCAAGAACAAAACGAGAAGTCAAAGCGCCCCTTTTAGGGCAACCTCATGTTGCGCCACACCCAAGTGTGCAAAGAAGCCGCTCCTACCTAAGGACCTAGAACAAAGCCAAGGGCAATTCTGAAGCCCGGTAGACCAAGAGCGGGCCAAAGCACCGCTTCTATGTCTGGTTGGGAGTAGCTGCGAAAAGAACACCAAACACCAACCTACCTCGGATGCTCCACATCCTTTGCGTGCATGGTGTCGGTACCGTACCCAGCGGGTCCAAGTACCTTCTAAATGTTTAAGGATACTTAGACCCCTTTTGACCCCCCAAAAGCCATCCTCAGAAGGTACCAAGGGACCCTCTGGGGTATCTGAAAGCAAAGCCTCGAGCCCAGCAGGTTTTGGCCGTAAGGCGTGGCCCTCGAGCCGCAACAGCCCCACTCGAGAAGGTTGGCAAACTAACGACGGTTCCACCCGGGAAATAGCGACAAAAAGGGAACATGTCTGTCTTGGTTGCTGTTGACCCCCCAACCCCAATAGCAGTCAAGGTGTGACTTACCTGTGGTTGGTTGAAGCCAGCACCGAGGGGTTTCGAGCTTGCAAAGTGAGCAGGCAACGGCATCCATGGAGTGAACGACCAAAGAAACCTGGCATGGAGCAACGAGCAAATTTGAGGAACAGATTGGGTACCCAAACAAAAACAGGTGAACCCTGTTTTCTCCGAAAACGCCACCCAACTGTGATGGAACAAAAAAAATCGGCTGGTGAAGGGCGCATGGGCTGAGTCAGGTGGGTGCGGAGGGCATATACACTATATACATCTGTCGCCAAATGGGCAGCCCCAAAGTGGGTGCTCTTTTTGGTTTCCCTTCAAAACAACCCCCGAAAAGGCCACCCAACAAACAAAATCCATGCGCGGGGCTGCTCAATCCCGCTGAAGTGGCATACCCTCACATCCAACCACCTTGCCTGCAAATGCCCTTGAACATCCAGCCACGCGGCTTGGCAAAGCAAACTTGGAGCCTCTGACTTGAAGGGGCCCATTTCAAACGAGTTGAAACGCGCGTAGCGGCACAGGGATCAACCGGATGTCCAGTACTCCAAGTGAAAGGGTTCAATTTCAGCTCAAATCATATGATTTTCGCCAGGCTGCGAAAGTACCCCGGATGACACGCCGAGCGAAACCTCCCCCAGCGCTCGAGACCCGCAGTATCGAAGATGGTAAGCGTCGCATCCTGTCACGCAAACTTTGAGAGGGCATTATGTAGTTTCGGAGGTATGGAGGCTATGTACCATTCTATGAGGGCTGGTGTTCTTCACAAGATTGGTGGTATATCGGCATCCATACCTCCAAAACCCAAAATACTCTGCAGGGGCAACCTGAAGATCCTCTTGGCTCATTGCAACTGCTCAGGATTGCTGATTGAAAGTGAACATGGAGGGAACAACAACAAAACCGGAGAAAAGCGTATCAAAAAGCTCAGTGAAGTCTGGGAATTCCCCTCCCTTCCATGGAATCGCCGGGAGCAAATAAAACCTTCCGCCTTGAAAGGCTAGTCCCTCTCTGTCCCGAGCCTCCATGGGACCCTTCATGGACTGCATGCTTGTTATGTCAAATGACAGAAATTGTTTACGTTTGCACTCACTACGAGAGCGTGGAAGAAGGAGCCCCGAAGGATGATGGCACCAAAGAAGAGCAACAAACACAAAAACAAGTGCACATGTTGCCTTGAGGGAACGAGGCCTTCTTAGATTCTAATTAAACCTTTCCGGGGGAGAACATCGAGCACCTTGCCCAACGAAAAACCACTAAAGTCAGATATCACAAACATCTACTGGGGCCTTCAATTCCCTTCAGGCTTCATGGCGTCGTTAACGGGCTGGTGGACTTTCCTAGGCAAACTCAGGTTTACTCGGCCCGTGGTTCATTTCCAACTGTGCTCTTGGTTCCAACAAACGAGCTACTTCAATAAAACAGAAACGCACACATGTCGGCTTTGGTTTCCAGCTCGAATCAGCTCGAGCCCTCTGCGCTCAGCTCCCTACGAACCACCCCAAACTCGGCTGCGGAACCGACTGTTTCCGAATGTTTGCGAGTCTGAATTTCTCTGCGTCAACTTAAGTAGTATTCCTAGTCGCACCTTCAAATAGATTGAGCTTTGGACTTGGATGGTGACAAGAACCTAAAAGTCGAGTGCGACCGGGAACCGTCAATGATTGGATATGGTGCGACATAGGGGTTTGGACCATAAGAATACGGGTTTGGACCATAAGAAAGAACAGAGTGTGAGTTAGAGCCCTCTCGCAGAGCGATGCTTACTGGCCCTCCCTGCTTTCTCAACCCATGTAAACTTTTCCTGAACCGAAAAGCAGCGCTTGGGTTAGGGATCCATCGGGAAGTTCGACCGAAAAAAATCCGGGCGCCTGGGGCTTGGGCTTCAACTCGACTCTCACCTCACGGCTGGTTCGGACGCTGAAACCGCCGGGACAAATCCCCCAGGCGAGGTGGGTTTTTTTTGCTTAGGAGAAGGACATGAAGGACACCCAAGAGTATGTTGGTGGGAAAGAGGCAAAACGAGTCTGGCGCTGCCGAGTCCAACTCACATCACAAGCATTTGACGTCTTCAGATTTATGCAGATAAGCGTCAGGGTGGTTCCCCTGTCGGGATTCAATTCATGCTTGGGGAGATTCCTCTTAACCGCAAAGCTAAACAAATACGAGGCCAGGCCAGAAAGCGGCGGAAAGCGCCAGAATGCCTAAACGTGCTGGAGTCTAACTTCGCCAAACAAGTTTCAACCATGTTCTGTGCAACACACCGAAACCAACACCAACCATGACCATGTCCCCTACCGATGAATGCATTTATCTTCATGGGGGGATGGATGACCTCCGACAAAACCGAGTCCAAGTCCAAGTTTGATATCTGGGGTTATGGTCCAAAGACCTGAACTTCCGCAAGAAGTGAGTTTAACTTTGTGCGGGTCCAATTCCGGAAAATCCGAGATCTGGTTCAACCAAGAAATCAAAGTCCAAAGACCCGCTACCAAATCACCACTGAGAAATGGATCGCCAGGTCTTTTGGGATCTCCACTAAATGTCACTTGCCGATGGTTCTATTCGCATTGGCGACCAAGTCGCAATCGCCAGGTCGGCTTCCATCACGTCCGCGGTGAACGGAAACTCTCCCCCGGCCCAGCGCCGGCGCAAGCTGGTCTTGCCCACCTCGGGGTCTTGAACAACTCGACGGGTGGAGTTTTAAACCCCCATGCTTTGATGTAATTGCCAATTGTTTTGTTTTGTTTTTTGTCCGTTTGTTTTGTTCGCATGAAAGCTCGAAACCGAAGTCCTTTGGTGGGAGTGCCGCCCGTCTTTTTGGGAGGTCTTTCGGGGAGCCCATGTTTGCGGGAGAGGGCGCCTTCCGTTTTGGGGCTGAGATCCAACCATCCAACCGGTCAAAACCCCAAGTGCCCAAGTTGACCGTTCAAATCCGGCCACGGGAGTTCTACCCTTTTACATTATGAAACTGTTCAAGGGGCGGATAGATGGATAGACACTGTTTTTGTGGATGGATGATGGAAGTGTCCCTTACTAACCTTCCCCAATTCAAATCTGGCAAAGGGAAGCACCCTCTTACCATGAAAATAAATCAAAGACTGACCTTCTTTTGCCCGGCATTTTGAGCTGTCCAAGGATCCCCGCACTTCTGGCCCCCGAAGGCTTGCTAGGGACAAGCGGTGCTGAGGTGCCACCGCGCATCCTCTCCCCCCAAAAAAAGGCAACAGCTGGGAAAACCCGACCTTATTGAAAAAAGGGCACACCCAAACAGTTTGATTCCCTATTGCAAGTCGACCAGCCGCAAAACCAGGATTACCAATTGAGTCTTGCGACTGTTCTTTCCCAAGTGCTCCATGTATTCATAGAACAGTTGCAACTAAGACTATCCAAAGGTGCGCACGCATCACCTACACGGCTGCGTGGTCTTTTTGAGGGGGGCGCTTTCACCCTGGTTTTAAACGGAAGCCACGAGGACAACCCACAGCCTTCTTTGGTTGGTCCGCAAATGGAAGACAACCAACGGTTTTCTTTCACATACCAAGCAATCGGGTGTCCTGGCACATGACTCCTTTTGTTTCTCCCCTGTCCGGTGGTGGGTTCCCTCTACAACCAACGCATTTGGGGAAGCTTCAGGGAAGCACACCTCAAGACCCGGCCGGCTGATGCACAGGAGCCCCGAGGTCGCCCAGCAAGATGACCTTCTGCGCCGAAGAAGCTCGTGGCGCAAGGAAATCCTTCTTCGGCGCCGCTTGGCCCATGGGATCGGCTGACCAAGGGTCCTACCCCCATTTACCCTGCAAATGGGTCAGATGTCTACATCTAATTACCATCCTTACCCCGCACATGGGTCAGCTCTTGGTCCAGAGCTTCCATGGGTGACATTGTGTGGGGCCTTGAACTTCCACTGCAAAAGCAGGTCCTTGGCGATCCTAGATCTGTTGGGGATGTGGCAGACTAGCATGGCCGAACTTCTACTCGGACATGACATACATCTCTCCAAAAGCATCCGCGGCCTGTGACCCCAAAACATAGCTTTCTGCCGCCCACTGAAATTAGAGGTAACTAAAGCCAAAAAGCCGTGCAACAGAAAGGTCACTCTGTTTTTGTTGATCGAGGCGAATTCAAACGAAAGCAAACAGATTAGTAAAGCGTTGAAAGGGGTGCGCTCCAAGGAAACGGGATAAACTAAGAAAAGTTGAAAAAGGGATTTTCACCGGGGACACGTCCTACCTATGGCTGGGAGCCGAAAAAGGGCGACGGTTTTGCTTATTTTCTTTTGCGGTGGTGACAACTTCAATCCAAGGACTGCATAGTGCAAGGTGCAAACCCTGTTTATTGATCTCTACCTTCCCACCCTTTTCACATGAAACCTGACGTTCGGGACCCGGTCCCTTCAAACGGGAAATGGCCTTCCACCAGGACCCGTTCCATGTTCATTGGTGGGAGGGTATATCGAAGAGGCACTGGACAATCAGGCAAGCTGCAACTGATCGGCTTAAGAACCGAACGATTTGGGCGGTCCCAAAGTGGCTTGGTCCCAGAAACAGCGCTGTACGATCTGCTGGGAGATTGCGAGTATCCATTTGCGCTAGCCTTTGCAAACAATATCAACCTCACTTCAGTTTGCTGTTTGGGTGAGTTTCTTTCAAGATGAAATGGTTCCGACATGTTACAATTGTCCTTTGGGGTCTCCTCCTAAACTGGCGTCGAAAGGGCACGCTGAATATGGAACAGAGTCAGAACACACGATTTTCTGCGCCTCAATTGGCCAAGTCAAATGAGGTTTGGAGGTTATGGAGCCAGAGTCGGGACAGATTTGAATATTTCAGCGCTTTTGGCGTATCTGACAACTTTGATTTCTGGTGGGCTTGACTACAAACGACCTCGGAACCCACTTTGTGAGGTAGCTTCACTCAACAAAATCGACCTGAGCGGAGCCTTTTGTTTCCAGGTCCCCAAACCCAGGGTGCCCGAAAGATCAACATGTCCAGATTCTTCCTACTTCAGCGGCAACAAACACCTCTTTCTGAGGTCCTGCCCACGTCTCCTCGGCCCTCTCCGCCTTTTCCCCTTCAGTCCCTTCAATCCAAGAGATGTGCGCCGGAGGAAAAAGCAAAGGTCTCAATTCAGCTCAAGCTGCACCCAACGAGCCGAAGACCAAAATTTCCGGGGACCAGGGTGGGCCTTTTTTGCCTCCACACACCCAAGAGTTCCATTTGCTTAAACCTGATAGAAAAAACATGTTTCCAGTAGAGTGATAGATTGCCTTCAAAACCAATAAGGGAAAATTAAAACCAACAACATATTAAGAAAATGGAAGCAGAGGGACCACCCTGAGACCCTGACACCTATAGCTGTACAAGGGTTCGGTGCCTCTCCGGCATCTCAAGGAACTGGGCACCTGAAATCAAGCGCGAGAAGCAGGTACTAGATTTGGGCCGCTTAGATCTCAACCGAAAACAAACAAAAAAAAACCAAAAAGGGTGGCCTTGGCCAAAAAGACATGTGCACGCCTGCACAAAAGAAGACCAGGCCTTTGGTTTCACCCCAAAACCTATGGGGACTTTGGGTTCGGCTAACACAGGTTTATCTCGGCCTTGCAAGCCCATGGAAAACATTTGTAGGTTTCACAAGGTGGTCTTGAGCTTCCCGTTGCGGTGGAGCTGACAACTAAAGAAGCAAATAAAAACAAAAACCATAGACCAGTCGCAGGTTGGTAAGAACAAACAACACCTCGGTTGCTTTCTGCTCCCCTGCTAACAGTTTAACTTTTAGTGGTTTAATGAAAAACCCATTGGTTGGCAAAAAGTTAAAGTCCTAACATCCAAGAAAAATGCACCAACGACTCCAGCTTGTTCTTCGCAAAAAAAAAAAAAAAGTTTCATGGTGTCGCTTCCCCAAATTGCTATCGGCTGTCCATTGACACGATTGCCACTTTCGGAGGTGAACGTTGAGAACTGGCTTGGACATCTTATGTGACAGGTTCACTTGCCAAAGGACTACGTGATTTGCTACCCATTCAGGCTGATTGGACCCAGGCATGGGTTGTCACGGTTCCCTTCAACGTTGTTTACTTCTCAGATGCCCAGTGGATTTCCATGGGAAAACAAGGCATCCTTTGGCTGGTTGAGCTTAAAGGGGAACCTTCCCCAAAGGGAAACCAGGGGCGGAAGCCGGGCAACTGGCTAACAAGTTGTGATGCGGGTCTGCTTCAACACCCCGCTTGGGCAAAAGATTCTGAGGCTCCACTTCGGTTCATGGGCCCTCAAGCACCCAGGTTTGGATCAAGGGTCCCAAACCACCTTCAATCCCATGGATTCGTCGGGGTCAGGAGCCGGGAACGGACAACTTCGCGCTCATGAAGGCCCCATCCACCGAGCTCTGAAGGAAAACTCGGACGCCGTTCAACTTGGAGCGTCAAAGGTGGCAGAGTGCAACATGGGGTTCGACCACCGGCCTTCGGCATCCCAAATGTTGGACTTCAAAGCATTTGGGTTGATCAAAAACGGACGTCACAAGAATCCCAACGAACTTTCGTCGGAATCGAACTCCTTTTGAGCAATGCCCGTGTCCAGTGAGCCTCTGCCCCTTCATTTTGTCGTGCCTCAGCTGCAGCAATTCGCAGATATGCGGACACGCGGGCCGCCCAAGATTGTCCTGCCCGTGTTCAAGGCGAAAGTGTCAGACCTGGGTCTCAAAGATCACACTGGCTCCTGCCACTACACGCAGGCAAGCAATACTGTCTATTTTAGTAGGGGAACCCTCCCCAAAAAAAGAAACGGTAAAAGGGCTCTACTGGGGTATAGAATATACAAGTTCAACAGCTTGAAAGTACGGCTTTTGGAGCAGTCAGCTTTTTAAGCAAGGGCAGTCGACCTTTTTTTCCGTGCTTCCGGGTTTTCATGTGGGTCGTTGGCTGTGGAAAGCTTAGGGTCCAAAGTCACCCTGAGAACTGGTCCCAAGTTCCCGGGTCACCGCAGAGGGCTCCAGTTGAATGGCAGATCCGATCCCCTTGTGGGGAAACCAAAGAAAAACCAACCAGCCGTAGATCGGATTTTGAGAACCCATATCTTGGTTGACCTTGGAAGGGGATAAAAACAAATCAAACTTTAGCAGTTGAGTGGGGATTTCAACCACCAAACCACAATAAGCAAAAATGTAAAATGTTTCCCAACAACAACCAGATTATGGCCACCTGTGTTGTTATACGTAGCTCTATTCAGGCTTCATCGGAATTTATTGGTCAAGTCTGGCAATGAATCCAAGCCGCACATCAGAAGCAGATGCTTCCAAAACAACATAGCGCGTAGCTTGTTGGGTTCCATTCCAATCTGCAAGGGGAGGATTCTTTCGCCGCAAGGCGGGCCCGTTCTTTGGGCGACCCACATGTTTGCAAAATTCAGAGAATGGGTACGCGGGAATCTACCCATACTTTCCAGCATGCTAGGGGTAATCCAAACCAACTGGAGCCCTCGGGTAAGGACCTTTTCCAGGCCCGCCTGTGTCCTGTCAAACAGAAATGGACAGAACCAAAAGCGAATCGCAAATTCTACCAATCGAGATCCTCTACCCAGAACACCTGTGGCCATGATTGAAAATACACCGGACACAGAACTTGTTTCAGCTTCCCTCCAATTTGTGGAATTTGGAGCCCGGCTAAGGGGTTTAAAAAAACAATCGTTCGATGATTGGTGGCTGATTTTGACTCACTGGCTGAGTGGCTGGCCCAAAAAAAGAGTCCACACAATTCATGAACTCATGAACTCACTTAGTGAGTTGAGCTTAAAAACCATCGACAGATGGGGACTCAACCCCTGGCAACTCCGGAACTCTCCTGGTGCCAGGCCCAGGCTCAGGCGCCTGCTCCAACCTCTCCGTCACCTCCTCTGGGAACGGTCGAAGCGGTTTCCGGGCTCGGGATCCGCTGCGAGCTCGGTGGCGAAATCTGCTCCCCGGCTGAAAGTGACGAACTTTTGGTGGTTTAATTCGGAAAACCCATTAGTTGGCAAAAAGGTTAATTCAAGTCCTAACATCCAAGCAAAATGCACCAAAGTGCAGGCAGAGAGGAGGTGTGGATGAACTAAATTTGGCTGAAACCATAACGTTTTTTGGTATTTTGCAGGGGGAATCAGTCCATTCCAGGGTTTCTTAGGTGCGAGCGGATTTCGGCCATCCACCTTTCGGGGAAAACCACGCCCATTGCCCAAGCCTCGTTTTTCAAGATGTGCCCTGTGAGGGCCAGGGGTGCCCGTGGCACAGGCGCCGTCCTTTCGAAGGGCACCCTAGCTCTAGTCTCTTGTAGCCAACCTACGTAAGAGCAGGGCGTTAGAGCAATCTGAACTTTAGATGAATATGGATCGTACTAAGGAGGTACACCCTTCCACCCAGTGAAAAATTGGACTAGTATGACTAGTTCACAATTGTTCAGTGACCATGATAAAAACAGGGGAACCTTTTTCGGGGTCGACGAGTTTTGGTGCGGCAGCCATCAAACAGAAAGGGAAACTCATTGGCGCCACGGAGCTCGGAATGTGGGAACCTTCCATATCATTCTGAAAGTGACACTGGGTGGCCAGTGCCCCGCGTGAGCAAAAGGTCAATCGCCATTTGATAGGTTTGATTCGATCGATCTTCCAAAAGGTCTCTCCGGGGGCCGATTCGGTCACACCACCAACAATCTATAAGGTGCAATTGCCGTACCAACAATCTAGGGGATCCCCATACTAACTGATCCGATGAAACCATTAGGAACTTGGCCTAGGTCCTCCAGTAGAGAGCTTAGAATAAGGGTACCCACTTTTTTCTGCAGTCTATTCTAGTAGGGCAACCCTCCCAACCCAAAGAGGTTGGAGAGAAGGGCACTGGGCAAACTTGGGCTCGAAACCAAAATCCCCGCCTTGGCCATGGCATGGAAGGCCTCGTCCACGTTGTGGCAGTTCTTGGCGCTGGTCTCCAAGTACCTTCCGACCATCCGGAGCCGACAAGAAAGACGAAACTGAGCCCTTTGGGTCCTAAGGAGTGGGCGGAGTGTGCAACACAGGGGCATCCAACTGAAAAACACCCAATGAAAAAATAACAAATAAACGGAGAAAAACAAATAAAAAGTAAACACCAACACCCAAAAACACCCAATGAAAACATCCAACTAAAAAAATAACCTTAATAACATAAATACACGGAGAACCAGTGACACATCACGGTCCCAGTTGCAACTGGCATTGGTGAGAAAAAGGAACCTCTACGAAGTTTAGCCGTCAACCACCTCACAATGTTCGGAGATGAATCCCAGGATGTCCACCAAAGGGTCCGTTTGGACCCATGAAATCTCATACATGTCGATGTGTCAGTTGCAATTGTGTGCCCAAAACACAGGGGATCTTCCTGGCGGACGCGTTTTTCGCCCAACCGAAAATCTCCACCCAGTTGCAACTCTTGTGACCCGAAAGGAACCCAAGCGGGAAACGGGGCCCTCAGGGTGCCCAAACCGAAAATCTCAACGTTGCAACTCTTGGCTCGACCCGAAAGGAACCCAAGGGAAACGGGAAACGTGATGGGTGCCATCACATCTAAACAAGGGCCTGAAAAAAACAACCAAACAGGTCACGGTGAAATTTCCACTTTGTCGGACTGCCACCCCAGTTCACCAGTCCTTTTCTTGAAAGGCTGAAAAATTGCGTCTGCAACTGGCCACCAAACAAGACCGACACAACAAGAACAGTGTTTCAATCGAGTCAGACTAACCCTGCGCTCTTACTTTGTAGAGTGCTAAATAGGCAGTTTGAGACTATAGGCAAATATCCATCTATCTAAGGGCCATTTAGCGCCCAGAGAAACCTCACTCAAGCAATCAAAGCCCGACCCGTTTTCTGGGCGACTGCTATTTCAACACTGCTTTGAGGACACCCAATATATTGCCAACAAACATGTGCAATCCCCAGCCCGACTCGACCTCATAAGGACCCCCCTCTGGTTTTACATGATGTTCCGTTTTCCCAAGAACCCCCCATGGACATTCTGAGACAAAGCACTTCCCCCCAGCACCAGCCACCTTGGGCCCGGAGCCGCTTTCGGCGGAGCCAAAAACCATCCAAGCCCAAGGAACCGTACTGGATGGACGAAATCCATTTCGCACCACCTCAGAAACCCTGGAATGATGATTCCCCTGCGCACACCAACAAGAATAAATGGTTTCTCATGGTCTCAAACTGTTGCAGGAGTTTGTCCATCCACAGTATGGCAGGGTTCCCCGCGTGCCCATCAAACACCTTGGCTTCGAGCAAACCTTCGCCGCGCCTAAGTTGCAGCTCCTCCGCCAACTCGCGTGCTTCTTCTTCACACACCTCGGTTCTAACCAACTCCCCTCCGACCAAGTGGATTGGCCGAAAAAGTCCAAGCTTACTGTTGCTTTGCACCAAAACAAGCCTTATTAAGTTCAGGAACTCGGGGCGTGAGAAACCCAGCAAAGGGTACGAAAAAACATAAGGCGGGACGGCAACCACGTCCCTTTGCAAGCCCCCCCCCCCCCCGCGGATTCGGCTAAAGGCCTTTCTTTTTGTTCCCGAGTTGCTTCTCGCGTGCCCCCTGTAACCAGTACCAACTTGTTTCGGGTGTGTATGATGGTTGCCCGACTAAGAAAGGAGGTACCTACCACGGGTATGAGAAGCCAGATGTTTTGTTTCCGAATGTGCCAACAAAACAAAGCACTTACAGTGCGGGGGCATAGCATGCGAGCTGCTTTGGAACACTACTCGGCAGTCGGGTGATGGTCCGTCGCCGAAAGGCGGACGCCCCAGATCTCCAGTGGCTGGGCAAAAATCGGCACTTTTGGGCGGCTGGCTTCAAAACAAAAAAAAGACACGCGCGTTCCTCGAAATAGGGTCCTCGCTGCATGGCCTTCAGGGAAGTCGACCACCCGAAGGCGGCCCCGGAGGGACGTGGGGACACTCCTTGCACTTCGAGACACCACACGTTTGGAGACCAGGTCCTTCTTCGTGCCTACCAGCATCTTGTTCACCCCCGCCGGAGCATATTTCTCGATTTCCTGATCCGACATGTCGGCACGTGTCGATGAATCGGGATCCTCTTGATCACTTTGGAGGAAACCACAGAGCGCCATGTCAAAATATGGGAATGCTGCTTCTAGTTGTGCAAAGCCGACCCCTGGTTTGTGCGGGAAAACATGGAGAGCATCGCATCGCTCAGCCAGACGTTTAGCAACATCTTCTAGCCCAAGTGACGGGCTAGAACTTGCAGTTGGTTGGACCTAGGCTCTGAAGAAACCTGGCAACGAACACTTGACAGTGCCAATTAAACCGGTCAGGGCCAGCAACTGGAGTTTACAGATAAAAACCCTCTTCCAATTCGATTTGGGGCCAATCTCACTTCAGTGTGACGTCCACAAGACGTTGTTCGCAAACACCGTGTTCTCAAACGTAGAGTTGTTCGCAAACTAACACCGTGCTCTCCAACTCGGGGAGTCAGCAAGGGTTGATATTCTAAGAACAGCTGAACGATCTGCGACATGTCTCGGCTGGGAGCAACCCTGTCAAAGTGTATCAGGCTTCTTCTGTACTTCTCCGGGGGGGGTTGCGTTTTGGGGTGGCTTTATATTATAAAGGCAAACCAAAAGGAACACCACATTTTGTGGGTCTCTTTTTTTTAGGATATGCCCACATTGAGTATTCTTAAACAGCATGTCATGTGAGTCACAGCAAAGAGGATCGAGAAGGAATCCGATCCCCTTCGGCTCCTGCAGCCACTGCCGCACATTCCGGAAAGACTCCCGGTCGGTGAGATCAAAGGCCACGATAATTCCGTGGGCGTTGCCTGGGTCCACAAAAACGGGGCCAAACTTGCCCGGGCAACTGGAGATTCAAAGACTAAACATGTTTGAACCTCTACTTCCATTGGGTTAAGACGCCTGAGGAAAAAATCCAGTAGTGATAAATTAACCCAACAAGGGAAAATAAAAAAGTGCTCTTAAGCAAATGGAAGTCTATCATATGACCCTTTGAAGGGGTCGGCTGCTTGGCATTTGGACAGAAGCTCAAACGAGTCATCACACTCTTGGCGCAAGTGAAGGCCCCAAACCGCGGACCTTCCTTTTGGCAGCCATAAGCCGACAATCTTACCACGAGATGAGAAACGCCGAATCTCCAATCCGCCTAAAGCCAATCGCCGCCTGCCGATGCTACTCCTTTCTGGTGGCAACTGCTTTGAAGGATCAAGGTCGGAGTTGGCTCTTCAAATTCAATACATTGGATGTGCCGGCCGCCTTCAAGCAAAATGTGTGTCGTCTCCAAACCCAGGCAGTTCTTCACAAAGGGACTCCCTCCCGCATATGACCTCAAAGGAAAGAAGTTGTAATTGAATTCCTGGAAACCAGCTGGAGAAACACGAAACTCGCCAAAGCCTCTAAATAGGATTGGTTTCCAATTGGGGTCCCTTTTACGCCAGCCCAAAAGGGCGTACCAGCTCTATCTGGCTATGTGCCAAGGAGGAACCAAAAGGGTACCAACTCAAAAACGAAACACGCAAGAACGCACAGGCCCAGTCGGAATTGCAGGGTTTTTAGGTCCTCCAGTGGAGAGGTTAGAATAAGGGTACCCTTTTTTCTGTAGTCTATTTGAGTAGGGGAACCCTCCCAAAAAAAAGTTGGTATAAGGGCACTACTGGGGGCCCTAGGTCTGCAATTTGGGACCACGGCACGGTAGTATGAGGCGGCGATGGTGCGAAATCGCTCCTGGCCAGCGGTGTCCCAGATCTGAGCTTTCACCGTCTTGCCGTCCTCGGGTTAGAAGCTGGGGACGGATCCGACGCAAAATTGGGCTACTCCAAGCTCCCAAATGCCCGCGAGCGAGCAAAGGATGACAAACCCTTTGCAGGTTTGATGGAATCAAATCTGTTTCCAAAAGGTCGTGAAAGGGTTGCGATTCGGACACAAAGATCACAAAGGCAACCTGAGAAAAGGTGTTGCTACGTCTGGCAATATCGATTTTCTTTCTGACCCAATTTGGATACCCCAAACCCATCGGACCCCTTTCCCAGCGACTGTCCACGTTCTTTGGTTTTCACACGTCCTCGTTTCGGCTTTCGTGCTTGTTCCGGACGTGAACCATCGCAAACAACAAAAATACCCAGGCCTCAAGGCCTAAAAGCTTGGGGCCGTGTTCGGGGAGGTTTTTTTTTGCCGGGTGAGGGCTCCTGAAATGTGTGCCTTGCCCCAGACTGTTGATTGTAGGTGTGTGGCAAATTAGGTGTTGTTATGAACCCTCAAGAAGGTGGGTATTCTTGGCACCCGACGTGCACGCAGCCACTGTCTTACCAAGATATACCAAGGAGGGTTTCCCCAGTCTATCGGAACTAGAAGCACTGGGTGTGTCTTTTACTGAGAGTGCCATGTTTGTATTGTTTGAAAGGAACACCAACACAACCCATTTTGAGTGTCCCCTTCAATGTTCAAGTGGCATCAGTTTTACGAACATCTTGTTTGGCTTTTGCCTGTTCTATGCTGCGACATACCCCAATCAAAGGGGTCTGGCAAGAGCGACTGCCATTCAGACTTTCCGAGGCTCGATGAGCATGGTGCGGATGCGGAAGTCCACTCCGATGGTACCTGGCGCCCGAAAAAATCCGGCAGGAACTTGCAGGAAGAACCATTCCTGCCGTCCAACCTTTGGCATGTGTCTTCTTGCAGGCCCCCGCAAAAACCTGAATAAGAGCAATTTACAAAAGGAAAGAAGAAGGGAAAAAAAAAAAAAAAAACGGTAGCAGAGAACTGCTTCTTCTTGCAGGCCCCCCCAAAAAAAACTGAATAGGAGCAATAATAGCAAAAAACAACAACTCGCCAGCAACAGTGAAGCTACCTTCCGACTGTTCTCAGAGGACATAGTAAAGGATGATTGTGTACATGTGTCATCATAACCCTGGCTAGCTGGTTTATCCGATTCTCCCGCTATAGAGTTTCTTCCCAACTGGGGCGAAGTGGATTTTGTCCATCCACAGTGTGACCCTATTACATGTCACCCCACCAAAAGGAGACTAATCTTAAAGCGTCCAAAGATGTTTCAATCACCCTCCAGGCTCTTTTTGGGGAATCCTTTGTCTACCAGGGTCATTGGTCGCAACTGACCTGGGTAGTAGACATGGAACTGCCAAATGCGAAGAGGGCCTAGCAACCAAAATAGAATCCGCATTCGGATCAAACCGTAACCATGCTGAGTTCAATCGGCTGTTTGCTGGAATAGATTAAACCGAGAAAACAAACAGAGAATGAAAACCAAATCTGGCTACAACGCTTCCCAAGCAAAATGCCAAGCGCTTGGAGGTACCTGCTGCAATCCATGAATCAAAGGGTTGGGTTACCGGACAATTCTACAGGAAAACCGCTGATCTAGGGTGCGTTGGGGCCATTTCCTGTAGACTTTCCTGCAACCAAACCCTTTGAAGGAAGACGCATGCGGATGGAAAGTCCAGTTGCAGCAGCTAGGTCCTCCAATAGAGAGGTTAGAAAGGGTACCCTGTTTTCTGTAGTCTATTTTAGTAGGGAAACCCTCCCCCAAAAAAGTTGGTAAAAGGGTACTACTGGGGGACCAAGGCAAGGTACACATGTAGTCATCATTGTAGGTGTCATCCGCAAAGCGGAGCATCAGGCAAGACTTGCCAACGCCTGACGCCAGGCGTTGGATGTGCAGCCCATGACCCCTTTTTCACCCCCCAAAAGCCATCCTCAGAAGGAACCAAGAAACCCTCTGGGTGAGGTAATTGAGCAGGTTATGCCAGGTAACTAAAAACGGCTTCCACTGGGAGAACTAAATTTCCTTAAGTTATAATTCCCTGGTGGGCTCCGGTAAAAAAAAGAGCTGCAAGGGTCGAAAGATAAATGAAAGACCCCTGTAAAAGTGGGATAACTGGGGTTGGTCACTAATAGCCATGTTATAAACCGGTTTGCTAAGTGGCTTGACCACATAAGTCTCTTGAATGCCATCCGCACACACACTCATTGCACCCAACATATAGTTCCAATTCCTCTAAACATAATGCAAACAAGTGTAGTAGGTTGGGGAGTAGCTCAGTGACACACAGGCTGCCATTTCGCAGTTCGGATCTATGAGCGCAATGAAGGATTCCCAAGCACTACTTTCAGAGCAAGGCAAAGGTCTTAAAGTCAAAGGACAAGGTCAAAGGAATTTGGGAAATTTCGGAAGCAGAACCACCAAACCCAGGTTGCAGATGTCCCCAGACGCTGTCCAAAGGTCCACCCTCTCAAAAAAAAGGATTAGGGGATATATGTTTGGTGAGAGAGCGATTTGCCCGCACCCCTGTGGGCGTGACTCCCTTCGGCGGGCCTTTTGCCACCTTTTGGGGGCAAGCTTCGGCGGGGCAAAGCTTTTCCCACCTTGACCAACAACTACTACGCCCTTGGACAGGGCTCCTTAGAGGATGCCTTTTTGCCCAATAGGAAACCACCTTTGCGGGCGCGTGGAAACTTTGTCAGTTGCTTGTAACTCTCCCGCGAAGGACGTGGCTTTGAGCACGAAGCCGGGCCTGAGTCACCAATGAGCAGCATGCGGATGAGACGGTGGTAGTCCTTGATCAATCGTCACGTCTGTCCCAAGAACATTTGAGGAGTCAAAGACCTCATGTTTGTGGGTGTCCTTTGTTAGGAGACCCCTGATGGTGGACTTATTGGATTCCCTTTAAGACCACCAAAAAGGGGCACCCTCAAACAAAGACACACCCACTAGGGTCCAGGGGGCTGCTAGGGTGCCCGGAGCCCAACTCTTTTACACAACAACGCCGTCAATTGCTAACCCCGTGTCCACCGAAATCGGACTAAAGCTGCCTACAGAGTTTGCTGGCAAGCCCTGCCCCAAGGACGGTCAGCAAAAAACTGACAGTCCTTTACATCGGGAAAAAAAAACTTAAAAACACACACACACACACACGCCTGTCCACATTTGTTGTATGGAACGATGCTAAGCCCGGGTGGTCCAAATATACTCCCTAAAAAATACCAGCGTTTTGGATCGAGGGATCAACCAAGGCTCGGCGGATGCCGCGGCCATGGCTGCGAATCTTCGGTGATGGATCGATTTCGAGCCGAGGGCCTTCGAACGCCAAAGCATGTCATAAACCTAAGGGCTATATGAGGGGGGGGCGGGTAACTCCCTCAGTAACACCCCTTAGTAACGGAAGGTCCATGATTTCAATTGGGGACCCTCCAGTGGACATCACATTGGGTGGGGATTTGTCCATGCGGGAGCGTGCTCCTCATTCAACATCATAGCTATTTAAGGATGCGCTGCGATTTGAGGGTCTCTTTTTCGAAAGTGCAAATCTCCCAATTGGAGACACCAATTTGGTTGCTTAATGACACAGAACCAAGAGGTTCTACACTACAAACCACCCTATAAGTTGCGTGAATAGTATATACCTACCCCAGGATTGCATGGCGGTTGAACCCTTCGATACAATGAATCTGCACCAACTACGAAATAAATGGCCATGGCTCAAAATCCCATACCTCCAGTGAACATCCCAATCCCCACTAAAATAGACTAAAATGGGTGGTGCACCTGCCCCAAAATGGTACCATTGGTTTTGACGCAAATCAACAACACTTTCTTTGAGGGATGCCCCGAGCAAGGCAGCTTCATCTTGGGCAAGCTTGCTTTACCCACGCTCGGGGAGCTCGCCATGATTACGTAGCGCAAATCATGTGAGTCATCATCAAAAACTGGTATTGAAATGGTCTACCCAGAACCATGTAAAGACTTAAAGAGGTTGCACCCATTTATGATTGGGACTTTCCCTACTAACCTGCAACTGCTAGTACCCGGCTCATGTCCGTTTGGAAGCAATTAGAAGCCACTGAAAGCATAAATTCATCTTCCAGGTAACCTCCCGCAGGTGCTGTGATCTAGGTCCTCCAGTAGAGAGGTTAGAATAGGGCTACCATTGTTTCTGTAGTCTGTTTTGGTAGGGGAGTGAAGCTTCCCCAAAAAAAGTTGGTAAAAGGGCACTACTGGGGGACCTAGATGATAGTGCAGTATTCCAGCCACGGGCCGCGCCTCTTTCGACTGGTGGGATGAGAGCATGGCGCCTCTCGCTTCGGCCCGAGCTGCACTGACCGAGTCCGAAGGAGAAGCCAAAATCCACCGTCTTCGATGCTGCGCTGTACAGAGCAGCCGAAACCCAACCCCCCCGCGCAGCGTTCGAGGGAGCGCTTGAAGTAGGAGTCCAACACAACTCAATCCCAAAGAAACTGTTCTTGCGAATCATCCAGGCCATGGTGCTTGCAAGCACCATGGCCCCAAATTTGCCATGGACAGAGCTCACGTCTTCGATGCCTCAAACGCCCCGATCCGCACTTCGCGCTGGGAAAAAAGTGAATGACTCGCGCTTAGCGGCAGCAGTCGGCAGAGACACGCTGCCCGGCGCCCAAAATGGTGGTCCTGCAGTCTGCGAAGCGATCAAACAGTGTGAAATTCCTCCCGCAAGCTCCAGAATTCCCCGCTTTGGTTTATCTACACTCCAATTAACAATGGAACTTCACAGTCGGGAAGACCATTTTCCTTGTAAAGGGACCCCCTGTCAGGTTCTGTGCTAATTCGTGCAAGGGTAATCTAACTATATCTTAAATAATATGGTTTCCACAGTGAATACCCTCCTTTTGGGGGATGTCAGGGTTCAACATCATAACATAACCCAAAACAGCGTACGGGAGCAAGGGCAGCTGTGCCCAGTTGCGGGTGAGCCTGAACCCAAATGACACCCGTTGTTGTTTGACCGTAGTGGGGCCGCCCCGAAACAGAAAGAAAGAAAGAGTGGTGCAGCTGAGCAACTTTGTGTGTATCTGTGTTTCTTAAGATTACGGGGAAAGTGTTTTACAAGGGGACCCTGAAAGGAAGCCAACCGTTTCAAGGGGGGTCTGGTCCATGTCCCCATGTTTTCCGAAAACAGTCATACAAGCAACCAGAAAGGAAGCTGCAAGACAAGGTATTTGATGCCATATTAGGCATCACCCGCGGGCAGTTGATCGTTTCATTTCTCCCTACGGAGCTTCAGTTGCCTAGATTTGAATACCTGAAAATATTACCACACGAAACCAATAGGCGACCTCCATGAACGACCAACAACCGATATCCGTCTACCCGCAGCACCGATACGGGACGGGAATGTTGTGTAAGCTTCTCATTTGGGTGCTGGCTCATCTGATCAACCAAGGCTGAAACCACGGCCAGGGAAACAAACACCTGCTTTCAAGGGCACGGAGATTTCCGCCCCTGACATATATATATATATATAATTACCCTCCCTCCAACAAACATAGCAGCTGTGGGAGGGTACCTGGAAGATGGTTTTCCTCTTGATGTCGTGTGTCAGTTGCTATGTTAGTGGGAGGGAGGGTATGTGTTTTAAATAATTAATTTGTTTGTCAGTTGCTTCTTCTTGGGAGAACCTCATTTCTAGCTCACGCGGGACCTGCCGAAACACGAACCCGGAGCTGCCCGAAAACATCAACCACCCGGGAGTAAACGCGTATTCTCGAAATACCAGTTTAGCTACGGAAAACTGTGGCGCTTCCTGAATGTCCAGCTAGCTTCGAGGGAGCTGGATGTGTGCCAAAATAGGGGCTCAAGCATGGCGGGTTGGTTTCCCTTGCCACCCTCAAGAACCCACATGCTCATAGCATCGCCTAACAAGGCTGTGAGCTGGGAGCAAGGGGTGCAAGCCCGCTGGTCCTGGGCCCCGTGGGCGCCGGATCTTGACGCGTCACTCGCTCCTTCACCTCCTGCGATGATCAGAACCAATCAGAACCAATCAGAACACATCACCCCGGTTGATTAAAAAAAGGGGGGTCCAACTGGGTGAAATGTGGTTGGAATCACTTTTGGAGGGGCCAAAAGCCACCCCCTATTAATCAACTGGTTGGTTGATTATGGGTCAGCAGTACCCTCCCATCCACAAATAAGAAAACCTCACAGGGGCCTCCTTTAAAAGAGACCCGCTGGTTCCATGTTTGAACCACCAAAGGGTAAAACCAAAAGCAAAGCAAATCTGGCAATTCAAAGTGCCATCAACTCTCGCCCAAGATGAAGATCTTGTAGGAACGCTGTTGGCACTAATTGAGACTGGTCCAAAAAATACAAACCTTCATCATGTAAACACAAACACAAGAGAGCCTAGGACAAGGGCACATCAGTTTGTCTCAAAACAGCGCCCCCCAAAATAACTGTTGCTTCCCCTTTAAACCAGCCTGTTTTGGCTGGTAGAAGCAGAAGGCAGTCCAGGGGTGGCGACTGGTTGCTGAAGGCCAAGCTGCCGGCCGGCGCGCGCTTCTGGGACGCTCGCGGAGCGCCCCGCGACGCTCGCCCGCAGCGCCGAACACTGAGGTAAACGGCACGAAGGGCGCACGGGAGATCTCTCTGTGATTGCGTTTTGGAGCGTGGGTCCGTTTGCCAGAACGCGACGACAGCCCCGGAGGTCCTTTTTCATTGCCTGGCTGGAGCGGGTCTACGGTCCGTCTGGCTGCGCTCCTGCTTGTTCATCGCCTGGCCGGGGAACGTGGGTTGAGCTTGGGCACGCAGTTGGCCATGCGTCTGCTTGTTCATCGCCTGGCTGGAGGGCGTTCATCCCTTGGCTCGAGAGCCTTTGAGCAGCTGATTCCATATGCCCACTCAGATTTTTTGGCGCCAGAATCCTTTTGTTGAAGTCCATGCAAACATCACAACTTGGACCACTTTTACCGAAAAGCAGCTGTTGCTACGGTGGCTGCCCAGAATCTGGCGCAAGTCAAGGAACTGGCAATCCCGACAGGAAATGCGGAGCTGCCGGCGTCGCTGCTGCCAGCCGAGACGAGCGGGCGGCTGCCAGCCGGGGTCGATGGCCGTGAGCCTTTGCAGGCTCCCTCGGCGCTCGCGCCTTCTTGGATAATCTGGGACTAAACAATTGTGACACCCGTGTTCCAATGCATGCTGGCAGTTGGGCACCTATTGAGAAACAAGCAAGGAAAGAGCGCGCTTTCCTCACATACTCAAACTGGTTGGTGCTAAAGTCTGCGCACTTTGGCACAAGGAGGCTTGCCTCGGTGAAACAGCTGTTGACCAGCGTCGGCAACTGCTGCCAGTGCTGTGCCCCTTGCACGCATTCCCTGCTTGACTTGAACACCGCAGCCTGATGCTCAAAAGCGTTGACCTACCTTGCCCTTCAAGAGAAAAGCAAAGTCGCACTGCAACGGCAGCCCATGACAGCTTGCGGTTTGAAATCCCTGACCTTCTGCGAGCTCCTCCAACTCCCTGATCCTCGGCTCTGATTCCCCAGTCCATCTCCACATCTCCAACATGGTATTCTGGATCATCTGGATGTGTGCCGCATCCGCATGACGCCACTGCATGATGGCCTCCTGCACTTGGCGAACTGCCTTATACAAAGAGGCTTCAACTGAGTACACATTGATAGTCACCAACTTTGGCGTAGCGGATGTCAGTCTTGCTTCCAGATCTGGATGAAAATGGCCTATCCTCCTCAGAGCTCTACTCATGGCCCCTGCATAGTTCTGTTCAAACCATTGCAAGTCCTTCTCCTCTGGCGATGCGTGGTAGCTGTGGCTACCGAAATCGTGCCACGCAAAGCCGCTCCAGATGTGAACGAACCTCCCAGACAGCATAAGGATGTTCCCCAAATGGCAATCGTGTAGGAACCGGTTTCTAACCATTTGGAGCAGGTCGAAGTTGTAGCCCCATAGGAAGATCAAGGAGCGCAGAACATCGAACTTCTCAATCTCTTCACCGACGCTGCCAGGCGTTTCAGGAAAGACTTCGATTGAGAAGTCTAATTTCCCAACGCACAGGCGGCATGTTGTCGTCGGTGAGAAGACCTTGAATGCTCCAAATGTTCCCAAACGGAACTTCTCCCGCCATCCAGTCTCCGATTGCACTTCACTGGGGGTACTGACGCGCCTTGCAGGTCGAATTTCCTCAACGGCCTTCAAGCCAACACGCACTGCTTCAACCAGCATTCTGGTTGTCGCGGGCATCCTCTCCTCCCAGAGCATTTTTTGCACATAGGCGTGGATTGCTGCTGTGTCCAGAGTCCTGGCCCGACCCACAAGCCCTGCCCGCACGGCCAGTGGACGACCATCGCAAGATGCGAAGGCGATGGTGTTTCCGCCGCTGCCTCCACCGCGGTGCTCATGTACTGAGCAGTTGCCAAAATTCATCATTTGACGGCATTGGGACACTTCGCATGAAGCCTCACATCGAAAAATGCGCAGCGGCAACAGCAGCCAGAACCATCTCCTCGTTGCTTGGCATTCTACAGCAGCTGTGCGCTTTGACACTCCCAAGCTTTGAGCACTTGAAACTTGATGCATGTCAACGTCTGTTCAAGCAGTGAAAGGTCCTGCTGTCGCTTCAATCAGTTATAGACCTAATTGGATGGAAGGCCTGAGCTCCATGTCTGTTCAAGCAGCATGAGGATCAACTGTCCCGGAGCACTCTCACGAGCCTTCGCATGGAGAATATCAAAGGTCCGTAAACAAAGTCTTGTGTGTGTGAACCGCCACCCTAGGCTGCAGGCGAGGGAGGAGGAGGACTGTGTCAGGATGTCTTCATGTTCGCAAAATCAATCCATGCTGCAAACCTTCATTTGGCTTTATGGACAAGCATGTGCGCCACTGTGGATGGACAAAATCCTGCACCTACAGGGGAATCATCCTTCCATGGTCTCTGAGGTGGTGCGAAATGGATTTCGTCCATCCACAGTATCGAAGCGACACGCCAGTTTCGTCCTTGGCCATGGCATGGAAGGCCTCGTCCACGTTGTGGCAGTTCTTGGCGCTGGTCTCCAAGTACCTTCCGAAAAGCCGTAGGTTCATTGGAAGTATCCCCAAGGTCCAAGGTAAAAAAAGCGACGTGCAAGGTTTAAAAAGAAAGTGTCTAGGTTAAAAAAAGAGTCTTACAAGGTGGAAAAAAGGGGTGCCGAAAAGCTGATTGACCATACCTGTCCTTTCATCTGGCCATGGGGCATAACCTATGGTGAGCCATTTTGGGGTGGATGAACATCCATTCGCCAGCCACTTTGATGTTCACCAGGGGGTACAGGGTTTTGACCCACAGATACCCACAGCCATCTCACTTCCGATCGAGTGGATCGAACCAGCTCCAAGTTCTCGCCAAAACGGTCCCCAAAAGTGGCTCGAGTCCAGGAACTCAAGAGGGTGGGAGAATAAATTTTAGCACAGATGCGAAACAAGGCTCAGGTCAAGGGTCATCTATTCGAAAGGACCCCGGTTGACACGTGAATTGCCCTTACTGGAGGGAAGGGGGGGGGAGCAAAGCACAGAGTATCATCCACTGAACAGCCTAGACAACCCATCACAAAACCGATGGGAGCCATGTTGGTATGTTTTGGTGGCCCAGTGATTCCAACAACACATGGAAAATGGATAGTTACCTACTGTACTGATAACTGGGATGCACTGCGTGGGAATCAACCGTATTTCCAGCTTCTGCGCCAAACTTCGCCTACCCCAGAGGGTCCAAGTACCTTCTAAGGATGTACTTAGACCCCTTTTGAACCCCCCAAAAGCCATCCTCAGAAGGAATTATCCCAAATTGTGGGGGTCCTCTTGTTTTCCTCTTCTCCCTTAAATCTAAGTCCCCCAAAAGGTGCCCTCAACAAAACCACTCCCCAAGCGTCCGAGTACCTTGCCAGGATAAAAGCTACCCTTTTTCACCCCTCAAGTAAAAGAAGCTACCATAGCTACCAAGAAAACGCGCTGGGACACACACACACACACACATTCAGAACAACCAAACAAAAACAGATCTCCGACTTGTCCGCCGAAAACGCGGGCAACAAAACACCGACTTGTCCGCCAAAAACGGGGAAAACACCGACTTGGTCACTTAGTCCGCCAAAAACGGGGCAAACACCGACTTGTCCGGCCCAACAAACCGGGGGGGGGGGGGGGAACAATGGTGCTCCACTGGCGCCTCAGCTGCAGCTCCTCAGCCAGCTCCCGGGCCTCGTCTTCGGAGACCTCAGGATTTGCGAAATCGGAAAGCGCCGGTTCCTGCCATTCGGCTTCTTCCCCTTGACTTAAACATATGAGTCATACTCAAAACCCTGTAGAACGATGAACCCAGAAACATGTAAAGGATTAAGAAGGCGGCCGTAACCATTTATGGTTGGGATTGCCCCATCTACCCAGGTTTTGATTGTGGCTCATATGAAAAAAAAGAAATATGGCTGTGGGTCAACAATGCGTACCGAAGATGGAGCCCTGGTAAATGGAAGCAAAGACTAAAACCTGCGGTTGCCTGGTGGTCTTACTTTGACCCATACCCATATCGACTGTCCGTCAACAATATTGAAGTTCTGATATGGACTGGTGGCTTGGAGCCTGGGTCGAAGGCCAAAGAAGAACCAGGGCTTCAAATCCAAGTCCAAATCAATCCAAACCACCATTGAGTGGAAAGCTGATCTGTGGTCTCTTGGGTTCCATGCTCGAGGTCAAGACAACCTGATGGTCTACCGTAGAAATTGTGGTCATCCCGTGCTGAAACTTCGACTTTTGATGGATATGCCTCAAATGCCTCTAAACACTAAGCAGGCGTCAAGTCGAAGGTTGTAGCTGGGAAGCGCCGAGAAAGCCAGAGTTAAAGAGAAATATAGGGAAATCTGGACACACAGTCCCAATCCAAGCGCGAGATGACATCACAAAGCAGGATGCCTTGCATGAACGACAATCCAGACAAGGCATGCACAGAAAAGAGGGCTGTACCCAAATGGGAACCCCCTCCCCAGGATAGGGCAAGAAATAGCAAGCAAACGCATGCATGCGCAAAACCTAGGCAAAACGTGGGCTGTTCCAAGAGAAGTATGTTGTTTTTGGCTATCCCTATTTCTTTCTTGGGTGGTTGCAAAGGGGATTGATTCGGACTCCGGACCGCAACGTTTCGCAGCGTGACAAGTCCCATGTCCGATTTCCAGCTAGGCGCGACTCGCTTGGAGACCATATCCTTCTTGGTTCCCACCAGCATGATATTCACGTTGGCTGGAGCGTACTTCCCAATCTCCTCAGCCAAACGCTCTCCAAGCCCCGAAGCAAAAGGTCCAGAGACCTTTTCGAGAAATCGGAGAAGACCTATTTGGCGGGTCAAAACCAATGGGATCCCATTTTGGGGTAGGTGCACCACCCACTTTAGAACCTATTTTAGTTGGGATGGGGATGTTCACTGGGGTTACGGGACTTTGACCCATGGCCATTTGTTTCCAAAAGGCCTTGGCTCTTGGGCGCTTTGGTCACCCTTGAGCACAGCCAACTTTCAGTTTGTCACTGTTTCTTTGTGCCAGGTAGACCACCAATGGGTCCAACTTAAGTCATGAGCACAAGATGTTCATGTGTGTAATGATTTCGCAGTTGGATGATTTGCAAGCAGGCAATGAGTTGAATTGACCCTGTAGCAAGCATTTGGGTTTTCATGCAAGCAACGCATCTTTTAGTTCTAAGAAGCGGGCGTTCACCAAAGGATCTGGTGGCCCATGACCCTAGGACGTCAAATACGGGGTATGGCTTTTTATTTGGCTCCCGGACCCTTTGGTGGATATTTAGGGATTCACGTCCACCACTTGTGTAAACATGCATAGTTCTCCATTGGGCTGCAGAACGAAACAGGGCTTCCTTCTCAAACATCACCCGGATTGGGCAAAAGCCCCCGAGGAAAAGGGTGCCTTTCGTTGGTGAGGGCCGACACGCACGAGTTTTTCCAAACAGTTGAAATGTCATTGCGGGCAAGACCCCAACCACAATGCTTAATCGCTGGTCTGAAAGTGTGCACACCCTCAACCCAACTGCAAGCCTCATGTGCATAGGAAGCAGTGAGCAACAATATGAATTTCAGGCAATCGAGGTCGCTTTTTGGTTGTAACAGTCCAATGCGGGCGAATGCAAAGACCGTGGTAACCACCAAAACCTTCGTCCCCAACCCCAGACTGCAAAGAGTCCGCTTTGCAGACATTTGACCATAGATGAATCTGCGTGAAGATTTGTGACTCAAAGGTTCCAGATTTGTACCCTTGAAGTTGTACCCTTAGGTTTGTACCCAAAATGAGGGTCGTTTCAAGGATTTTCTTGGGTGGCAAATATTTTGGGGTACCTTGGCGGGAACGACCCTAAAACCCTTGGGGCGGGAGCATGTCCATTCAACTCTTCGATTCCCAGTCTAGTTGGGATGTCGTCTTCATTCATGACCAGTGTCCGTTTAGGCCCAACCTAGCCAACAAGTACCATAAGAAGTTCACAAGCCTTTAGGATCCTTATCACCCAGTAGTATGTTTGTTGCCTGGCCCTGAAGGGACACCGAGGAAACACATGTATTAGTCTAGAGTGTTGGTTGTCTGGCCGAGAGCCATAACACTTGGCGCATGAAAGGAAAACGGGCGGCTGACAGGCACACAGGATCGGGCAAACGGTGTTCAAAGAGCCAAGCCCCCAACCAAATGAACAGTAGACGGATGAACAACTTCTTCCATTTGCGTTTAATCCCCTGGAAAATGACAACATCACCAGTGATAGATTCCCTTTAAACCAACAAGGGAAAATAACAAACAGTCTTAAGCAAATGGAACATGTTCAGCATGCTCAGATTTTACAATACGCGGGACGTTTCCGGGTTCATGGTTTCAGGTCTCATGATGGTTTCCTCTCCAAAAACGTCCGACATCTCGGGTCACATGATTTGACACTCGGCCTTTCGCAGCAGTCCATGAAATTCATCTGGGCAACTTACCAATTCACCATGATTCACAGGAACCTTCTAGTTGTTGAATAGAAGGTAGAAAGAATCACAAATGCTCCACCTACCCTGGTTGTTCCTTGCGCTTGTTCCACCAGGGCAAGCTCGCGTGAGCTTATTCTACCAGGGCAAGCTCGCCATGCATGCCAAAAAAATCGGCTTCTCCTGCAGCCACTGCCGCACGTTCTGGAAGGACTCCCGATCCGTCAAGTCCTGAGCCCCGGTGGCGCAGGGAGCCCCGACTTCGGGCAGAAAAATCTCCGTACTTCTAGCTGCATGCATTGGATATCCTATACCCAAACCACTACCCTCAGGGACAACTGAGGCACCTGATTACAGTGTTTTCAGTGCATACCGCCAGAAGCTTCCTGCTTGCGCCATTGCCATTAGCCGGGAGTGCCGGCCAACTAATTGATTGTGTCTTGTTGAAACACCCGTTCAATGCACACATGCTGAGCAAAGCCAACTCGGAGTGCCAAAGCCGGCAAACAATCTCACTGACCCACACAGGAAAACCAGATCTGCAGACTTTACTACAAATCCGAATTCTGATTTAAGGGATCCCCAAATAAAGCACCCTCATCATGGTGAGCTCGTTATACTCCCACATCAACCCGCCATGAAACAAAAATAGGCAGACAAGATGAGTGGGGGCATCAGAGTCGCCTTTCAGCTCCCTCCAGTTTGCTTGCGGCGCTGGACACACCGGTGCACCGCGCAGTGCGCTCCCAAATTTCCGTTGCAATCGCATGGATGCAGGCGCGCAAGAAGGGCTCCCAAAACCTGTGCTATTAGGAGGGTGGGGAGCAGGTTTTTGGGGAGGGAGGGGCGCATTGCAAAGGGAGGGGAGGGAGGGGAGGGAGGGGAGGAGGGGAGGGAGTGGAGGGAGGGGCCTGGAGGGGAGGGAGAGGGGAGGGAGGGGAGGGAGGGAGGGAGGGAGGGAGAGGGAGGAGGGGGGGAGGGAGGGAGGGAGGGGAGGGAGGGGAGGAGGAGAGGGAGGGAGGGAGAGGGGAGGGAGGGGAGGGAGGGAGAGGGGAGGGAGGGGAGGGAGGGGAGGGAGGAGGGAGGGGAGGGAGGGAGGGAGGGGAGGGCGGGGAGGGAGGGGAGGGAGGGAGGAGAGGAGGGGAGGGAGGGGAGGGAGGGAGGGAGGGGAGGGAGGGGAGGGAGGAGAGGGAGGGAGGGGAGGGAGGGGAGGGAGGGGAGGGAGGGGAGGGAGGGGAGGGAGGGGAGGGGAGGGAGGGGATAAAACGGCAGTTCTAAAATCAAAACCAAATATTCAAACAGCATGAAACAAAATACACACAATCCACAGAAAACAAGATAAGAACGACCAAGCAACTCAAAAACCAGAACAACCCCCAACAAAATATTTAATCACAGCATACAACATTAAATAATTCAAACAAGCATACCAACAAACCAGCAATACTAAAAACCATCAAAGAACACAAACTCAAAAACACACACTAACACATTTCAAAGCAGTACAACAACAAAACCATATCAGAAGAGTATCAAACAAAATAAATTCAATACAACCAAAGCACGAAAAAATCAAAAGAGCATGCCAAGTTCAAACAACACACTTTGAAAGAGATAACCAAATTAAGGAAAAATAAAATATTTCAATCTTTACAAACCACAATTATAGTATAATTATAACATCTAAGATTTTACATGTTATTATTATATTATGATTATAATTTCAGTTCAGGATAAGAATTTGATTGATTCTTCTTACTTCTTTCAGACATCATTTTAAAAATAATATTAATATATCCCACTGCATTTTGAACATTAAGCTTTTTACTTTCAATAAATAATTTGATATGCTCTTTAACATCTTCTCCTTTCTTTTGACGATAACCCAACATCCATAATATATCATCAATCATTTCATACTTTCTTACTTATTTTAAGAAACTGTTTAACATAATCGTAAGGTGGTATTTTATTTACAGTTAGAAATGTTAAAATCTCATCTTCTACATTTCTAGTATGTCTTCTTTTTTTCCCAACACACATTTGATTAAAGATTGAGTATCTTTCCAATTTATACAATTTTCACATTCGTCTTCTTCATCCATTGAATAGTTAATAATATTATTCACTAATTCATTAGGTAAATTCAATTTATACAATTCCATATTTTCTTTTTTGAAGTGGCAAAAATCATAGCATTTCTTATTGATATGCTATTATTGATTTCATCACCGTTCATTTTTCTCTTATTATATTAAGGCACTATTTCTTTAAGTCATTTTTAAGGCATTAAGAAAATTAAGAAACAAACCATAAGTATAGTATAATTACAACATATAAGATTTTACATGTTATTATTATAGTATGATTATAATTTCAGTTCAGGAAAATAATTTAATGGACACATCATAACTATTTCATACATTATTTTTGAAAATAATGTTAATATCTCTAACTGTGTCTTTGACATTAAACTTTCTAACTTTCAATAAATAATTTGATAGCTTCTTTTATGTCCTCTCCTTCCCTTCTGCGATATAACAACATCCATAATATGTAATCAATCATTGCATACCTTTTCTCACTGGTTTTAAGAAATGCCCTAACATAACTAGAATATGGTGAATTATACAAGGTTAAAAATATCAGATGTCATCTTCAACATTTGTTTTAAGCAACCGGTTAACTTCTAATTGATTTTCTATTATATTGTGATACCGTCTCCAATTTCTACAAATTCTACATAAATCTTCTTTACCCAAAGCATAATAAATAATATTATTTATTATTCCATTAGGTAAATTTAATTTGCATAATTCCATATTTTCCTTGTTGAAGTGACAACAATCATAGCAATTCTGATTGATATAATTATTGGTTTCATCACCGTTCATTTTTCTCTTATTATATTAAGGCACTATTTCTTTAAGTCATTAAGAAAAATTAAGAAACACACCATAAGTATAGTATAGTTATAACATATAAGATTTTCAATGTTATAATTATATTTCAATTAAGAATTAAGGATTAAAATGATAGTCAGGCATTATGTCTTCCAATATGTAATCTACATATTTATAAATATCACCAATGTCTATGTATTTGATATTGTCTTTTCCAATTATAGCATATATGTATTCCCAAATGAATAAATTAATTAATAGACATATTTTAAACTTAGTATTGTAATAATACCATGTACAATACTTATTTGCCCCAAACTCATTTAATACTTCATTTATTTTATCTTTGCATAATAAATTCCAATCAATCTCTTCAAAAAAATCGCGTTTTTTTTTAACAAATGCTCTATAAGGTTTAATGTGTAGTTCTCCTCCAAACCTTTTAATCAAATCATTATTATTAAAGAACTCATCAATTTCTTTTTCCACCGACTTTCTTGCAATTTTATGGAAAATATACAGGAAATCGTTTGTGATATGTCATAAAGAATTTCAATTGTAACTGGAATTGTGTATATTCCTTATCCTTATGTTCTTTAACAAAAAAGTGTTCAAGGTCTCTAGTTATACAGCACTGGTTACAATATATATTATACTCACTTATTTTATTACACAGATTAGCCGGAAATAAGTTATACAATGTTAGATTAATATCATTCTTTTTATTATTGGAAGATTTACCCTTACTATAATGAAACAGTGTCATTGGCATTATTTCTTTAAGTATATTTTCTAAAAAGTCACTTAAAGAAATAAACATTAAATTTATATAGTATAGTATTATGAAACATGTTATAGATTATCTGTTGAATAATGATAAAGCGGAAATTCCAAAAAGAGGAAACAAGGAATTAAAATCAATAATTATAGATGGTAGAAAATTTAGATACAACAAAGAAAAACCTATCTCGAATGTTTTGAACAAGAAATTAAAATCAGTAGCAAACACCAATGAATATAATAGTCATGCTACAAGAACAATTCGCCCAACATACCTTAAACAAAGAATGAAAAATGCCATGACAAAATACGCTATAAAAAACAAATTCAGAATAACAGACCAACAATCAGCATTCAAAAGTTATGCTAATTCTCTAAAACTAGTAAATAAACATTTTCAAGGTGAAAAGGCGTTATCAATGATACACTACCCAAAAAGATAGACTTTTGAACTTCTTGAAATCTAATAGAGCAATGAAATTGAATATAAGGGCAGAAGGTTTATTTTATCATTTTTTGATGATGATAAAGGAGTAATAAGACATGCAGAGATAGTGTATAATTTGCCAGCTACAAGGTCTAACATTTATAATGAAACCGATTTGGATGATGCTTTTGAAAAATCAATCAAATAACTTTTGTTGAACATAAAGAAACTAGAAGGTTCAGCATCTAATTTACAATTTATAAAAAAAAGTATCAATAACCGTTCATTATGACAAATATGACCCAACAAGAGCGGGTAGCTATATAGATTTACCAGAATGGATTAAACTAAAAAAGGCATGTGTTAATATCAAAAACAAAGATAACAAATGTTTTAAATATAGTGTTCAAAGTGTAGTGTTTGATGTAAATAATAAGCCGAATTCTCAAGAAATGTTTCGTTACAACAAATTAAATGATGACATTTTGAACTGGGAAGGTGTTAAATTTCCAACTGGTAATAAAGATATTGAAAGGTTTGAAGAAAATAATAGTAAGTTAGTTTCAATCAATGTTTATGAAATTGATGATACTTTGAATGACAAACAATATAATTGATTACAGGAAAGAAAACTAGAGATGCTAAACATCAAATAAACCTTTTGAAAATTGAAACAGAAAATAACCATCACTATGTTGTTATTGAAAATCTAAGTCGTCTAATGAACTGGCAAACAAACAAAAATGACCAACCAAAACATTGTTGTCATTTTTGTACTCATGCTTTTACTAGAAAGGATTTATTAACAAAACATTATGAAACTGGTTGTATGGCAACACACGGACAACAGTTTAAATTACCAAAAGAAGGTAGTTATATTGAATTTGAAAAATACAATACAAAATTCAAATGCTCATTTGTTGTTTATGGAGATTTTGAGTGTATAACTGTAAATTCAAATAATGGCATCAAGGGCACGTATCAGGAACATAAACCATGCGGTTATATGTTGAATGTTGTAAATTATAATGATAATACAAGCCAACCTTATTTATACCGTGGAGAGGATTGTTTAGACCACTTTGTAAATAAATTAACAGAAATTCAAAAATATATTTTTG